CCTAGCAAAAGCCAAAAGGCCTAGAAGTGGCATAAATTGTCTAGATAGTGCAGAGACTGAGTTACTCTGAAGCTTTGTCCAGGTGAGATGTGAGAATTAGGACATCTTTTTAGGGCTATGATGGGTATTGGTTGGATTTTGTATCTGGTTACTCCCGAGGGGAAAAGCAATCTTTTGTTTTGGGGGAGGTGCATTTATTCTTATTTAAAGCCCCATTGGTTATTTAACACATTTCTCTGGGCTACAGATTATTCTTATTTAGGACACTAAGGGTTTTGAGAAAGATAACATAGAAGTGTGTCATTTATTCTGTAATCATAGGCTGAATCAATTTCAACAGAGCCCAACATTTGAAGATAACTGTTATATTATCTACCAAATTAAAAATCAATCTACTTAGTCACAAATCACCACTTCATACCCACTTTCTTTTTCTCCGAGCAAGCCAAAATTAGAAAGTACAAAAGAAACCATTTCTACGATGGGGTAGAGAAAAATGATGTCTTAGGGCTAGACAGCTCGGCCTGGCAAAATTAAAAAGGAAGAAACATTTGTTGGCAATGTTCTTATCCTGCAGGTTCATGGAAGCGGAATGTGAGAGCTGAGGAATCTTAGGGGTCCTGGAATCTGCTACCCCGATCCCAAGGTCACAGATAAAGAAATCATGGCCTACGGGCTTTATCATCTCTGCTTTTCACTCCCTCATGTAACTTCCATCTACTCTTTTTCTTCAAGCTGCTATCAATCTAAATAAATTTGTTCTAAGAAATGGCTTGAAATGTGGCCAGGCTAGATTGTCAATACTGAAAACCCTGTTAAATTGGGACCTATCACAGGGGACTTGTAGTTACCAGGGTTCAAATCTAAGGCAAAAGGAATGAATATCTAAGGGAAGGGTTTTAAATATCATGGAAGGCAGTTTTGGGGGGAGTGTTAGGGAGGCTGTCTTAGGTCCGATTTCCAGAAAGCAGATCCTGAGGTAAAAATTATAGTTTGATTAGGAAATGTTCCCAGGGAAAGACTTGTAGGAGAGTCGGGGAATGGGACAGGGGAGAGAAGGAGGCCATGTGAGCTTGTGATGTGGGGCAAAGTCCTGTAGAGGGTAACGTGGTCTCAGACACACAGAGCAGCTCTGGAACAGTATAAGTCCTGCCTTAGGCTTATCCCGGGCGAGGGAGCAGAGGCATTTATCCCACAGCCGTCCATTATTAAAGAGCTGTGGGGAGGGGTGAGTGAGGAGGCTTAGTTCTCCACCCTGCAATGGACTCTAGTAACCTGAGGGCAGCCTTCCTAAAAGGAGTTAGACCATTGTATAACTGAAGGGAAAGGGCATCTGAGGGGACTTGGAAAGAGCCTGACAACATCTCTGCAGACACCTTCCTGAGACCTTCAGATCATGCTGTGGATGCATCCCTCTGGTTCATCATACTCCCTGAATTCATTAGATAGAATCGATGATTGGCTCCCTTAGTCTTTGGAATTTTTATCTAAATGAGAGTTGAGGAAACGAAGGTTTCAGTTACAGTAAACCAGGCACAAATTCAGATATTCGGTTGGCAGACTTTCTTTCCTGCGTACCTTAGGGAGTATCAGTTTCCAGTAAGGAAACAATTAAAAAAAAAATAGCGTATATTCCAAGTAGCAATTGAAAGGAAAATAGCAATGCAGTAAATGTTCTCAGCCTTATATCTAATTATCAAGTACAGTGTAGTGGTGATTCCCTCCCCCAACCCCCTCCGCCCCAGACTTGACTCCATTGCCTGACTTATAATTCTAAAAGGAAGAATGAGAAAAGTGAGGAGAATTATCTGTTCATGTAAAGCAGAAGGCAGTTGCGGGTACGAGGGGTGAGAGGAAGAGAATGTCAAAGGTGGGTTCATCAAGAGAGGCCATCGCACCACCTTAGGGGTCTCTCGGTGAACGTGAAGTTGGGAACAGCTGGTGTTTATTGAGCCTTCGCTATGCTTTAAGCTGTTCTAAGGGCTTCATAATGAATTAACCCTTTAAACCTCACAATGGTGCTGTGAGGAAACGGGACTTGTCGGAGGTCACACCCTTAGTAAGTGGCAGAGCTGGGATTCAAATCCAGGCCTGCTGGTTCCTGAGTCGAACCGCAGTGTCAGCCCTTAGTGCTTAGCTGGATTCGGTGTCTGTCTGTTAAGTATGAAATTCTTCCTCTTGAGTCTAAATTACATGAAATTTACCCTTATCCTCTGAGTAGAGCTTAGCTTTCTTTCTTTCCTTTTCTAAAAATTGATTTTTTAAATTATTCATGGAATCCACCAATACATGTAAAAAGCTTGAGTTAAAACATCACAGATGAAACATCATAGAAAAAATGGAAGTCATCGTTTGCTTTGATCAATACCACTAAATTACTGTTACCCTCACTGGTATCAGTTTAGCGTGTATCATTTTAGATCTTTAAAAATACATTTATATGCTTATTATATATTCTTTGAAAATACATGATAGTGTTTTGTATGTTTTATTTAAAAAAGAAAACACATGAATTGTATGATATCATAGTTCAGAGGTACCCATACTTTCTTGGCTTAAGGCTCTCTAACTAATGGTTCCTACCCCTCTGTGGCAGAAGTAGGCAATCCATCATCGCACTCATTCTCACTGAGCCTTTATCTAGTCTTGGAACCCTCACAGCCGTGGTAGACGGCCACCAACTAACTGCTTAGGCACACAAAATGAAACTTACCTGTCATTCCTGGAGGCAGGGAGGAGGTGGAGAGGTAGGTTGAAGTTAGGCTGAGAAGAACTAAGGAGTTCAAAGGAGAATTTGGAAAACATATTTACATTTCAGAATTTGTTGGCAAAATGACTGATAATTCTCCACTGCGATACAGTAGCAATGGACATTGATCTCTGGCTGCTGTTATTTGTTTTCTTACCTTAGTTCTAAGTTATCTTATTTACTTCTAGAAAAGTAACTTCACCAGAAATCCCCTTTTTTTATTCACCAGGAGTCTCATGTCGAAAGATGTGGTCTACCAATTAAACTGTACTTACTAAGGAACACCAACAGCATCAGCAAACAAACATTTGCTGAGTATTTTTCACATGCCATCCATTGTTTCAGTGTCTTAGGTTTATTAACTTTTTATTAACTTTAAAAATCCTTACAACCACCGCATGAGGTAGGTACTATTACTATTCTCATTTTATAGTTCTTGAAATAGAAACACAGAGAGGTTAAACATTTTGCATAAGGTTATATAACTAGTAAGTTATATACATTTATCACTGTTCCATTATAACTATGTAAAGAAGGACAAGTGTAATTTCTGACTAGAAGGAGAGAATCAAAAATAGAATAGTGGTTTCCAGCGGCCAGGAGGAGGGAGGAAAATGGGGTGTTATTGTTTAATAGTTATAGAGTTTAAGTTTTATAAGATGAAAAGGGTCCTAAATGGTAGTGATGGTAGCATACCATTATGAGTATATTTAATACCACTGAAATGTACACTCAAAAATGGTTAGGATGGTGAATTATGTTGTGTGCTTTACCACAATAAAAATATTGGGAGAAAAAAGACCCGGATTCCCAAAATGAATTGATATAATTTTGGCCATAATCAAAGAAACTTGCTATTTAGTTTGTGAAACATGTCAGGAGTAAATGTATGGTAGACTTAGATTCTTCATGACACTGAATAGTTAAAAGGCCTCTATTCTTGTTTTTGAAGATAGCAGAGATCTGACACTCTGAATTGGAAACTACTGATTTGACCACTCAATTTTTCAGTTCCTGGGGAAGCAGGGAGTGTTCACTGAGAATAACACATTTTAGAGTAGATTGGTCCACTGGGAGACCTCATAGCTGAGGATAAGGACCTAAGCTTTGGGATTCCCCTGCATTGGCATCACCATTTATTTGTGGGGTCATCTTAGGCAAGTTGTTTAACATCTGAGCCCCAAATTTTTCATCTGTAAATGGGGTGGTAGTGATAACCCATGGAAACTCTTGGAATAGCACCTAGCACTTAGTAGGCATTCAGTAAATGCTAGGTCTTATAAAATTGACATCAAACAGTAGCGATTATACAGAACCTTGAGGCTTACTGGGTGACAGAAATGAGATGGAGCAACTGATATCTTTTCTCTCTGGTATCAAGCAGGACAGGGGATGCCCAATAGTGAGTGTTCTATGACCTCTTGGTGGATACCCTATGGCACCCCTCTTACTGTCTTCATAAACTGCAGGTGTATAAAGTGACACTTCCTGCCATTCCCTAAGTGGCTTTGGAAACATCATGGTTAGTGATATCAAAAGCTACTCAGTTCTCAGTGTGTTGAAGTGACCTTTACACATGGTGTCAAGAGAGCTGGCTGCGGGGGCCAGCATGGTGCCTGCTTCATATGCTTGTCAGTAAAACAATTCTGGGGTACCCAGGTCATCGGGCTCCTTTGTTTTGTGATGGAGCTGATTTTCCCTCTTGATGACCTCAGGCCTCTGAAATGAGATATTTAAAATCATTTGTTCCTCCCAACCACAAAGGAAGAATTGTCTGTGTGTGTGATGGGGCTAATACTGGCTTGGCCCACTATTAACATGGAAGGCTGCCTGGAAGGGGAGCAGGGTGCTGATGCTGTCTTGGACCATGCCTTGTTGAGGTTATAGATGTCAGTCTTTAGCCAGCTGTGGGTAGGCCAGAGCAGTGGAGCTCAAAGAATCACCTAGGAGTCGACTGGAGCCACTAGAACATCTCTTTTAAGTGCATGCTCTCTTCCTTGTCCTTTTCTCCTAGCAACTGTATGACTCAAATACTACTCAGGTAGTATTCTCTGTAATTTATACCCTTGCCTGGGATGTTATTATTGCCGAATTGTTTGTGTTGGTCTTCGGAGGGCGGGACCCTGAGGAATATCTAAGGGAACCAAAGCTGTACTTTGGAAAAAGAATGTATTAAATTCCTTTTAGTTATTAAATATGCATCATATGGTTCAGCCATTTGACCCACAATCTCTGCTTTTTTTCTCCCCAGCACTGGCTTGAACCTAACAAGTCCATCTCCAAGCAAATGAAATGTAAGTGTCAAGATGTGGGTTCACGTTTGCTGTGAAATGTCCAAAGATATATTCTGTTTCTTGACGAGTTTCTCCTGCCGGGAAAGATATGGCTGGAATTGAAGATCTGTGGGTGGGGCAGGGGGCGGGGGCGGGAGGTGGTGGGCTTCTCTCTTCCAGTGAGAGCTGTGTGACTTCTCTCTTATTTGCTAGCCTAGATCCTACTTGCAGACACTATTCCTAGAGCCTTCTGTGTTTCTCCCTCTTCCCACCATTTTACCTTCATATTTCACATTCTAACAGGTGGAATGGCATTAGATGGTTAAATATCTGTTAAACATAATCACTATGTATCTGGTTCCTTCTGATAGTAGGGATTGCTAGTAAATGGTTCAGGGTGGGAGGTGCGTTCTTGGGGGCACAGATGAAAGAAGCAGGTATATTTTGAAACTAAAATCTTGCTGGTAACTTTACTGAAGTGTGTATTATACTTTTCCACCCCTCAAACTCCCTGACATAAATATTTTTTCTGGATAATTGTTTTCAAGCTCTGGTATTCTGACCTGCCTTTTAAAGTTTATTTATTATTTTTTATGAGCTCTTAGAGAAGTCAGCTGGGAAACCTCTTTCTAGAATACCTGGTCGTCCACTTGGGGCACTGTGATAGGGGTGCTGACTCGTTGTCTTGGAGGCTCGATGTTTTGTTCTGATCACCCATACCAGGCTATACAGTCAACCTGCTTCTATTTATGGTTTGGAGGAGGGCTTCTGAAATGTAATTCAGAAATTCATTGCCTGCCCTGAAATCTCTTTATCCCTCCACACCAACTTTCCCAGGGCTCTGAAATGTAGGCGATAAATCAGTTTCTCATCGGAGATTAGGTTAGCACATATTATGTCATAAGTCAGGGGATTCTTTTGTTTTTTCAAATATGAAGAAATTATTCTGGGCAGAATTTTTAAGTGAGAGAAGAAAGAAAGTGAACATGGATGGCTAGCAAAAAGGGTCCTAAATGGTAGTGATGGTAGCATACGTTTCCTTAACTATTCTTTTTCCCTTCCTCTCTCTCTTCTCCTCCCTTCCTCATCTGCCCCTCCCCATGTCTCCACCGCGCCCCCCTGCCCCCCCCCTCCATGTCTCAAGAGTAAACTCTGTCTGGCCAGTGCAGGAAAGACGGCTAGACAGCCAGATGATAGCTAACACCCATGGCTACTGGGGGCGACGGGTGCTGCAGGGAGGTGGCAGTAAAGATGTGTCGAGTAAAAACAGGGACAGCAGTGTGCGTGGGAAGTCCAGAGAGGCCAGGCTGTTGGGGCGAGGTTGGAATAGGGACAAGCATCTCATAATAAGTAACAGGACTAGAGGTATCAGAAAGCTCTGTGTAGAATGACATGCAAAATAATGAGAGTGAATTAACATGTCTGATAAAAACAAAGCAGATGTCTAGCTTTTATCCCTTTACTACCAAGTTTTGATATTTTTGTTTACATATTTAAAAATGTTTAGACAATTTTCCAGTCAGCTTATTTATAGTAAATGGTTCTTTGACTTTCATTCTTAAATATCATGAAATATTTTCCTTAGGCCACACACAATTTTGAAATGTAAATCTATTTCCAAAGTAAAATGTATTTCAACACTTAATAGAAGAAAAATATAAAAATTTGTGAAGAATTTGCTCCTTAAGTGCTTTGTCTCTATAATTAAGAAGTCTGAACAACCAACTCAAAATTTACAGTGTTTTATAAAACTAGTGTAAACATTGACATGTGACTACTGGCCAATTTCAATCTAAATGACAAATGGAATCTGAATCTGGAAAAAAGAATTGTGTGAAATTTAATTTCTAAACCAGACACGGTGACTGATTGTAGGAACTGGCAAAGGTCTTACCTGTCACTCAGTCCCCTGTTGTATTGTTAAGGACATTAGTCAACCAAATTTATGTAATTTTCTCAAGATTACAAACATAGCTTTGTTGTTGATGATGTCTTTTAGTATCAAGAATTTTTGTGTTCTTATATATTTGTATTGGAAACATTAACTTTAATGTAAATTAGGAAAAAATTAAATCAGAACTTACATAATGTTAACTCAGAAGAACTGGGTCCAATTCCTGGGACTCATCCATGAATTTGTCAAAAGGATCTAGTTGCAGAACCCTAGACAGCTGCCTACTTGGGTGTGGGCATGCCTTGTATACTCTGCCTTTAAATAGGCAGTGAGGGCATAATTCCTTGGAGGAATGGTTTCTCCCATTCTTGTTTAACTCACCAGTGATTGCTGACCCTTACAAGGCCCTGACCTTGTAAGATCCCTCTGATTATGGGTGTTCCCAGGAATGGTGTTTCCCAGGGTTGGCTGAAGTTAGCTGTCTTGATTAATAAACTTCGTATAAGACATTGTTGTTTCTTACTAGTAATTTAAAAAATCACTTTTAAATATGATTTTGAATTTTCTAACAGTTAAGAAAAATTTACAATATTTTTTTTCTCCTCCTCATCTCTCATCTTTCTGGAAATATTTTAGGTATACGTAAGCTCCCACAACATATATAATGCCTTTTATAGACAAAAACCTTCTTATTTTTTCTAATAATTTTAGGGATTTTTCCATATCAGTAATAGATAGATGACTGACCTCATTTTAAAAATGGCTTTCCAATAGTTAATTATATGCATGTATGTAATTTATTAATGGACATCAAGGTTGTTTCTAGTCTTTTGCTGTTATGCTATGTTATAATAAACATGCTTGAATGTACATTCTCGCATCTTGTACATCTGTACTAGAAATTCCTAGCAGTGGAATTATATCAAAAGGTATACACATTTTACATTGCTTTAGTGGTAAATGCCCACCCAAAGAGCTTGTAATAATTTACTCCCACTAATGTTATGTGAGAGGGCTTGTTTTCCCCAAATCTTGTTGAAAATAGGTATAATCAAACTTATTTTCATGATGAGTTTTTCCTCATTTCCCATCCCCAGAATGGCATCATGAGGCAGAGGAGGCAGCGAGGGTGACATCTCTCTCGTGTGCAGTCCTGAGTCCTCCCCTGGCGTGTCTCATGTGATTTGGCCTTTAGTTGGTGGCCTCTTTGCCCGGTCATCCTCTCTGGATGTATCTAGCCCCACCAGCCTTTGAGGGCACAGCGGCGTGTGCTGTGAGGCCTGTGGTTCCTGCCATGGTCTTGTCCAGCGAGTCTAGAGAGGCTGCCCTCCAGTGGTCCCCACTCCAGGTCTCTTCACTGGTTGACTCTCCGCACTCTGTACTCACCACTGGGACAGGCAGATACGACTCAGCCTCTTCCATGCCTTGCTTCAGCCTCAGGGAAACTTATGTACTCTAGCTAAGGCTCCCTCTCTGCTTAAACACACCCACTCCCATTTCTTCAGTGTTCTCCAAAGTTCCAGACAGAACACTTTCCCTAAACACTTCTGAAATTTCTTTGTCTTGCCGCTACACCTCGCTCCGTTCAGCCAAGGCTATGGTGCTGAGGGATGCTGAATTCCTTCTCAGAGGTCCAGATAGTGTCTTAAACTTGGTGTTGTCCTCTCTGGATCTCTCCAAGCTCTCCACCTGCCTTCTTTCCCTGCCACATGCCCACAACTAATAATGGCTTTTGTCTTTGGTTTATATACTAGGTTTATATCCTAAAACAATCGCTCTCTTATATACAAATGGTAACTTTCTCAAATATAATGGAAAAATGCTCTTATTTACAAATAGCAATAACAAACAAAAAGCTAAATTTCTTCTAAATAAATGTAGCAAGAAATGGGCAAGATCTGTATAAATAAAACTGAAATATTACTGTAGAGTTACTGTAGAATAGGTAAAAGATCTCAATAAATGGGACTTCTCATGTTTCTAGTTAATACTGTTAAAGTCAACTCTTCACAAATTAGTATATAAATTTTTAAATCAAAATTTCAGTGACAGTCTTGATGGCATGTAGCAAACTGATTCAAAGGCTTATTTGCAAAAGAAAATGCTCTAGATTAGCCAGTAAATATGTAAAGAAGGACAGGGTCCATGGTCTGTTAGATAACCAGTCAAGGCCTAGGAGCTATAGTTATTAAAAGAGGCCTCATGATAGACACATAGAGAAATTAAGATAGACCCAGGACTAGGGCAAGAACCAAAGGAACCAAAAAATCCCAAATTGACCCATTATTTATGAGAATATGGGTTATGATAAAGATTGTATTTCATATCAGAGATAGAAAGATAGATTATTCAAGGCATGATTTTTGGACTGCCTTTCCACTTGGGAAAGAAAAACTAAAGACATACTTTACACCATGCATGGGATTAATTCCAGATGAATTCAAAAGCCCAATATATTTAACAACTTATAGAAATTTTAGGAAAAATTTTAAAGTATTTTTTAAAAATTATGGAGTAGGATAGGGCTTCCTAAGGAAAACCTAAAACCCAGAAGCAACAAAGCAAAATCTGATGAATTTGTGTAAAAATTAAACTTTCGTACCAGGATTTTTTATTTGTTCACTGCACCGAGTAGACTCTCAGTAGATATTTCCTGAATTAATGACTATAAAATGAATTATAAACAAGTTAAAACACAAGCAAATAATGAGAAGAGCATTTGCCAAATATATAGCAAGTAGTAGTATGCGGAATATATAAAGTATAATGCTATAAACCCAAAGATAAACAACTCAATGGAAAAATGTAAAAAGAAATAAGAATAAAAATAATTGGCCAATAAACTCAAACAGATGCTCAATATCATTAGTAACAAGGAAAATGCAAATTAAAACTAGATATTTTTGTTTATTATACTGCGAAAATTGTAAATGTTTATCTAGTAAATATAACATCTAGTTGATGAGGATGAGGGTAACACTTCTGGTAGAAGTGTATAAATGACTAAAACCATTTGAAAGGGAAATTTGGCTGTACCTTTAAAAATTAAAAAATGCCTATATCTCTTGATCCAACAAGGTAATATCTATGAATCTATCTAAAGCAAATTTTTTCCAGCATAGGTATA